TGATGGTTGGACAGTTTCACTTGAAACCAGGCAAGCAGCTGCCTCCGGTTTTGCAACCTCCACCGTCCTAATTGGAAAAATGCTCTATGGGACTTGCAAGCAGCCGAGAACTCTCGGCCTGGAATCAAAATGGTTTGCAAACCAAGCCTTGCGTATTCCGGAGAATGCTCCACCAGGCTCCACCACGGTAACCATCGCGACAAGACCACCTTCGTGCCCGAATTGCCCGAATCAGAAACACAGCCTGGGAAGCAAGGGTCTTGATTTATTCTGGCGTGTTGATCTTGTTGGTGGTAGCATTTGTTGGATTGGCCTTAAGAATTTGAGGTTCGAACAAATCGAGAGACCTGGCAGTGCTCATATTATTGTTTCATCGTGTTCTTGTGTGAGATGGCAAAGTATACAACACTGCCGAGCATTCTACAAACCATATTCGTCGTGCTTTACTACATGCTTGGGTACTCTTGACAAACTGGATACTTTCTTCCGGTTACGTTCTTCACCACCTTTCCTGTCTACGACTAATAAGACTACAACCTCTCTTTGATTAACATGCCTGACCAACATCCTTTCACAATTTGGACACGTCGGGTATCCAAAACGCTAAAACATATGAGGCAGTCGCAAACATGAGCCTTCGCGGAGCCCATTTCACCACGGCAGGAATTCCAGCGTTGTTCGTCCAGCACGCTACCTGGAATTCAATCAAAATAAGTCTTTTTTTTCCTCTTTTTTAGCACGAGAATTTCTCTCACCTCTGCACCGCTTAAGGAGCTCCATATTCTCAAACTTCCATCCCCGGAGCCTGAGATTCAATACTTATAGCTATCAGGAACTGATACAAACGAATGTTACCTGAGATAACATAGCGACCGTCTGGACTGAACGATGCTTCCAACGTTTCTCCGTTTCGACTGGGCTTGAGCGTGAATCCATGCATCTGGGAAGGAGCTCGGTATAGACTTAACGAGCGAAAGAGAAGTTTACCTTCTTTCCAGAGTAGGCATCAAGCAAATACACCCGGCTGTTTGTTGTGGAGAGAAGCATCATTTTGCCATCGTTGCTAAACTTCATGCCAGCGACTTCCGCGGTATCACCACCCACGAGAAAAGTGTCAAAAGGTCCCTGAAGCATTCATTCGGACTTTCATAAAATTATTGGAGAATTAATCACATCTTACCTTGTCGAAAGACCTTACGTCAAACAGCTTGATTGCTCCGCCTTCCATGGCAACAGCAAATACCAGGCCTTGTTGATCATACGCCACAGACGGTCTTCCCCGGACTCTAAGAAGACCCTGAAATCATGGAAATGCTCTAGCCAAAGTTCTGGAAGAAAACGCAAGGAAAGAGTTTTTCTTACTTGGCAAACATTGCTGCGAAGATCCCACAACCGGACAGTGTGATCCAATGACCCAGACATGAAAGAATCGTTCTTTGGAGACATACATAGTGATACAACCCTGTGAGGAAAAGAAATAAAATAAGCATGGCCTTGGGTTGCTCCAAAGACTCACCTTTGAGTGTGTCCTCTGAAATATCGTAGAAATCTATTATCATACAACGATAGATACCGCAAGGACTCTGGAAACAAAGAAAGAACCTCAAACACACAAAAACCGTTCTCTCTTACCATCACTTCCATTGCTGGAGGAAAAAATCACAGCATTGGTGTGATGCGTGAAACATATGTGATCCACGCCATATCTTGCACTGTAGAGAGTCTTCATGGGCCTGGATGGAGCAAAGAAAAGGAAACTTGAAACCTCCCAAGAACTCGGGGGAAAAAATCACTTACGTCGCACTGGCAGTATCATAGAGCCGAATGGACGCGTCCTCCGCGGCAGTCACCATGAGATCCTCCGTGCGATGAAAATCCAAGGAGCTGATCTTCCCCCCCTGCCGCATTGCTCGTTTGCCAAGATTCTCGACGCATTGCTAGCAGCTCTACTTACACAATCCTTGAAGACCGCGCCCACAGACATGTTCTTGACGACATCCTCCGCGATTTCCATCGCCCCCGAGAAATCGCGGCTATGGCGCCACTGCGAATTTGCCCTACCACTAGTGCTCTGTTTTAGGGCTCTTGACGAGAATATTTCGCGTTTTAATGAGAGTATTCCGTTATATTCGAAAATGATTAAAAGTCTGTTAACAATGAAACTATAGCTAATTAGCCGCCTCTTCTGTGACCATTTCTGGCTGCTCGAGCGGCTTATCTTCATCCATTGGGGCCTCGGATTTCTAGCACAAAAGAGAAGAACATTTGGTGTAAAGAGATTTGGATCCAGAAAACTTAGAAAGCAAACCTGTTCCAACGCTTCGAGCTTGCTCAGCCTTGCGAACATGTTGCCATAGAGCTTGGCTTCCTTCTTGTTGTATTCTACTTGCTTTTGCTTCAGTGACTTGTACTCCATTCTCAAGTCCCTGTAAGATAAACGCGTGAGCCTTGGTTTCATGCAACGCGATTAAACTATCTTACCGGTTTTGTGGATCAATCTCCAATGCTTTCTTGATATCAAACTCGGCCAGGTCCAAATCTGCAGTGCGCGTGTAAGCTTGAGCTCTGCGATAGAGAGCCTTTACGTTCTGCGACTCCAGCTCAAGCACCTAGAAATTCAAATGTAAGAAAACAGGTAGACAAGCGAGGAGACTCTCTAACCTTCGAGCAGCACTTGATTGCGTCTTTAAACTCGTTGAGCTTCAGCTTTGACGCAGCGTTGTTCAAGTTGCAAGAAACTTTCAGTGCCTTGGCTTGTTTCTTCTCGTCGTCACTAAAGTTAGAGTCGTAGTCAATAAACTTCAGGGCCTGAAATCCTTGTCAGGATGCAATTCATAATCTATGAGCAATCGCATATTTACCTGTTCATACTTCTTTGAGGCACGAGCAAATTTACCAGCTTTGTATAGAACATTGCCCTCGTCCTTACGGACGGTGGCTTCTTGCAGCTTCTCCTCTGCTTTGTGCAAGTCCCACGAGTCCTTTGCCTAAAGAGAGCAAGTTAGGATCTAGAAAATCACTGCAACGGAGATTACCTTCACAAAAGAGATCATTTCCACCTCATAAACCAGGGTAGAATTGGCAGGAACCAAAGCGAGATCCCGTTGAGTATCAACGTCTCCAAACCCGTGCTCAGGACCAATGGTAACAACTGCAACTTCTCCTTTCTTCATCGTCGCCACCGCCTTGTCCAACCCATCAATAACTTGCTCTGAAAGAACTAAAACAAGTTAGCAACGGAAAACCCAGATTGACAAACGACCTTCATCAGTTTTAAACTCGAAGGGGTCCTCGTCGTCGCCTTTCTTCTCAAACACAGTGCCGTCCAAAAGCTTGGCCACATACTTGACTGCATTATCATTATCGTTAACAGAGAGCACGAGATGGTTTTAAGAAACTCACTTTTCACAATGGTTCCATCGTTGGGTTTGTCATGGCCTTCACTCGCCTTGATAATCTTCTTCGTAATTTTGCCATCTTGGCCGATTTTCTCAACAGTTTTCCAAGATACCAGCTCCAGATCGATAGAAAGTATGCCCTGCGATTCGCCAAGACCATCTAGACGATCCAACGCATTAGAAACTTAGCTAAACACACACACAAACATCTCACATTTCGGCCTCACGGTCAGCAAAGCTTTTTCCCCCTTCATCATCGTCTTGACAGCAATGGCAAGTGCTTCGCAAAAATGACCTGCGTTATCCGAACATAGATTAAGCACATCTTCAGCATAACGAACGCGAGTCCTTACCTTGGTGAACATAAAACTCTGCCCCTTCCTCAGGAGACTGTCCAACTACAAGCCCAGCTTCATTCTTCGCGACGTACTTCACTGAAAGTAGTAGTGCAAGTGAGTCAAGGACCAAAGCCTGTTAGCCAAAAGCATACCAGTCACTTCGTCAAGATCTTTCGGCATCTCATATTTTTTTCCCTCGGAAACAATCTTCTTCACCACGCCACCATCCTTGCAGATATCCTTGACGCTGTCCCAAGACAAGAGCTCAACGTCAAACTTGAGCGTCGCATTGGGTGGTATGGTTGGCGGCGACCCAGCTTCTCCATAAGCCAAGGCCGGGGGAATGGTGAACACCGCGTTCTCCCCCTTCTTCATTGTCTTAATGCCTTCGTCCCATCCCTTGATAACTTGGCCTACACAAGCACGAAGAAAGAAAAATCAACACCAGAAAGAAATCCATAACTCGCTCACCTTGCCCAAGCTTGAATGTGAAAGGATCGCCCCTATCTCTGCTCGAATCAAACTTGGATCCATCCAGAAGCGTTCCAGTGTAGTGAACTGCAAGAATCTATCAGCATTGCGACGCCAGGGCGAGAGAGAAGAGCGCTACCTTTCACTTCATCGCCAGGCTCTGGCATCTCCCAGCCAGTTCCGGCCTTGACGAGCAGCTTCTTGAGGCCATTCTTGCCGATCTCTTGCTCCTCGCCGGCCTTGAGCGGAGCCGCCGAAGTAGCTTCCATTCCGGCCTCTTCGTCCATACCCGCGTCGGCAATCTCGAAATCGTCCGCCATCGCCAGGCACGAGCCCTAAAACTCAACTCCTTTATAAAAGTCGCAATAGATCCGATGGGTAAGTCACGTGGCGCGATACAAGCCCTTGGATCTCCAATCCAACGACCCGAGACTAATTAAGATGCCAATATCCATAGCCTTCTAGATGCTTCTGCAGGCATATTCTCTCCGGCAAGGCATATTCTCCGAGAACCCTAATTGACAGAGCACGAAATATTTCTCGCCGGGCTAGGGTTTTATAGATCGCGCGATGATTTACACGGCGCTGGATACGTTCTATGTCTCCGAGGAGCAGCTCAAGGCCTCGCCTTCGCGCAAGGATGGTGTGGCCGAGGAGACGGAGACAATGCTGCGGCTCTACGGCTGCGAGCTGATCCAGGAGAGTGGAATCTTGCTCAGATTGCCGCAGGCGGTGATGGCAACGGGCCAAGTCTTGTTCCACAGGTTCTATTGCAAGAAATCCTTCACGCGATTCAATGTCAAGGTTTGTAATTTTTTTATCCTCTCCATCTAGGTGAGTCGAGACTGTTTTATCTTTGGTTTGAGTTTCACAGGATGACTGAGTGAGATTTTTCATGGTGTTTTTGTAGAGAGTAGCGGCCAGCTGCGTGTGGTTGGCGGCGAAGCTCGAAGAAAGCCCACGAAAGATTCGAGATGTCTTGAGTGTGTTTCATCGGATGGAATGTAGGCGCGAGAATTATCCTCTCGTGCTACTCGACACAACTTCGAAGGCAAGGATTTTTTCTTTCTTTCTTTGCTTCTCGCTGTTGTGCTCAAATCGATTTTACAGGCTTACGAGGAAATGAAAGTCGATCTAATAAGAACCGAGCGGCATTTACTGAAAGAGATGGGATTCATTTGTCACGTCGAGCACCCGCACAAGTTTGTTCTCAATTACTTGCTCCAATTGAAAGCACCTCTCGAGCTCATCCAGGAAGGATGGAATTTGGCCAACGACAGGTAACTTGCTTTTCCACTTTCCAGTTTTCTTGAGTTTTTGTTTTATGTTCATCTAGCTTGCGGACGACATTGTGTGTGCGTTTCAAAAGCGAAGTTGTGGCATGCGGGGTGGTTTATGCTGCTGCTCGAAGGTTTCGTTACCCTTTGCCAGAAAATCCTCCGTGGTGGCTCATCTTCCAAGCAGATAAGGCCGAGATTGATGTCGTATGCAAAGTTCTTGCTTTGCTGTATCAGCAACCCAAGGCTCACTACGTCGACGTCAGCAAGGGATCAAAGTCGTTCGTTTTGTCAAGCAGTTCATGGGATCCTCCTCCAGATGTTCAAGTAAGAAAAAACTTTTACTGATGAGCGGTGTTTGACGATTTAAACTTTTCTCAGGGCAAGATCACTGTGAATGGTACCACTGCTGGTGCTGTTCTTGTCCCGAGTGTGGCTGCTATCGTTTCAGCGGACACCAAAGACGAAGCGCCTCCTATGGCCGATCCAAAAGGAGAAATAGTTGCAGAAAAGCCTGCTATTGATGGTGAAGGCGTCGAGAAAACAAAGGAGAAAGATGAGAAAGACCGTGAGAAGGAGAGAGAACGAGACGCAAGACGCGATCGAGATCGCGAAGAACGGCGAGATAGAGAAAAGAGTAGGGATAGAGAACGGGACCGAGACAGGGAGCGGGACCGGCACAAAGATCGAAGTCATCGAAAGGATAGCAGACGGGATTACAGTAAGTTCTTCGTTTTCTCGTCTTCTCTCTCGCAAACTTCACGTTTGGAATTGGTAGCAGGCTACTCAAGTGACAAGTCAAGGTACCATTCGTCCAGATCAAGTGATCGCCATCGACACCACTGAATCGATACAACGCTTTTGTACGTGTACGTGATTCTCGATTTAAATCCTCTAACATCGCTTGACCACTGGTTGTAAAAGATAAGAACTGTGAAGATTAGTGACACTCAAAACGCTCGTCTCTTCCAAGATGTCCGGAACATAAGGCATGCTCTTGATGAGATCTCGAGCGTCTTCCAAGTAACCGGCCCTGCAAAGCAAATCAACCATGCAAGCAAAGTGCTGCTTGGTTGGACGAGAAAGGTAATCCATTTGCATTGAAACGAAGTAAGATCTTCCACACTCCAACTTTCCAGCATACTTGCAAGCGATCAGCACACAAACGAAGAACTCATCGTCGGGAACTCCACTCAAGCACCAGCTATGAAACGTAAAGAACGCATCCGTGATATGCCCATTATGGGCATACGCTGCCATGAGAGAATTCCATGCTAACAAGCAGCAATGCTGCCATGGTATCGTATCAAAGAATCTTCTTGCATTGTGGATATGCCCGTTTCGGGCATATGCCGCCACCATGGAACTCCAGGCCAGGGAATCCTTCCATGGAATCCTTGAAAAGAGAAAGTAAGTGTAGTGTAAGTGACCCTTTCGGGAGTACGCCACCATCAAAGTCGTCCAAGAGATTACATCTTTTTGGAGCTCTGGAATTCGATCAAACACCTCTTTTGCGTCTTCCAAATGCCCGCCTTGGGCAAATGCCGAGAGAAGACAGTTGCTCACGACTGTGTTGTGCTGCGGGATCTCATCAAACATTTGCTTTGTCTCCTCAAGTTTTTCATTCTCCGCGTAGCTGTTCATGAGAGAGCTCCATGAAACAGGCTCCCGGATTGGAATCTCGTTTAGGAGTTTTCTAGCTCGATCAAATTGCCGGTGTTGGGCATAGAGAAGGATCATCCAAGTTACAGAGACTCGATTGTGTTGCGGCATTTTCGAAAACACAAGCTCTGCCTCGCTAGAATTTCCATCTAAAACGTAGCATTCCAGGAGTGTGTTCCAGGAGACTATAGTTCTATGCGGCATTTTGTCAAAGGTTCTTAAAGCCTCGCCAATATGCCCTTCCCGGGCATATGCCGCTATCATCGAGTTCCAGGATATAATATCCCATTCTGGAAAGTAGAATAAAAAAAGATTCTCAGCATCAAGGATGGATGCTCGGGTATGTGTGTGGAAAAAGAAAATGGCGCTAAAGGTGATGAGATTCCTCTGTGGAATTCGATCGAACAGCTCCTGGGCTCTATCGGGATGCCCATTCCGGGAATATGCCAGGATCATAATGTTCCAGGAGATGATATTGCGCGACGGAATTTGCTGGAAGAGGGCCTGGGCGTCTTCCAAGAGCTTGTTTTCCGCGTATGATCCGAGCATCGAGTTCCAGGATGCCAGATCTCTCGCGGGCATCTCGTCGAAGATATCCCTGGCCTGGGAGAGCGATCCCAGCCGGGCGACTGCCGCGAGCATCGAATTCCAGGAGATTAGATCCCGTCGCGGCATCGCGTGGAAAACCTCCACTGCCCTGTCCAGCTGATCGTTGTGTGCGTAGGAGGCGAGCACCGCGTTCCAGGCGACGCAATCGCGAGTGGGCATCGCGTCGAAGAGGAGCCTTGCTTCGTCCGGATGCCCGTTTTGGGAATACGCGCAGAGCATCATGATCCAGGAGAAATTGTCGCGCGTGTCGATCGATATTCCACGGAAGATCGCCTCTGCCTGCTTCACATTGCCCGATTTCCCGGATGCCTCGATCATCCTGTTGAGCGCCGGCACATCCTGCTCAGGAACGAAGATCATTGATCTTGGCGCCAAAAGCTCTAATTGAAAATTAGGAGCTAGGGTTCTTGACGATAGGAGAATGTGGTGCCATCGCCATCCACGGCGATGCTGAGAATCCCCGGCGCCTGGACATCGAAATGGAAGTTAAGTGGCGGCGGCTCGATCTCCTCCTCGCTCTCCAGCATTCGCACCACTGCATCCATCGTAGGTCTAGTTGCTGGATCTTCTTGCACACACCAAAACGCTGCGTGGATCAAATTCTTCGCCTTTGCCGCGTCGGCCGACGCTCGGATGCTCGGATCCACCACTTCCATCGCATTCCCTCTCTGGACTTCCCTCATGGCCCAGGCCGGGAAGTACGTGTCGACCTTGGAGCAATCCAGGTTTCTCCTCCCGCCGATGAGCTCCAAGAGCACCATTCCATAGCTGTAGACGTCGCATTTCTTGGTCGCTGTGGAGTGCATGAGCCACTCCGGAGCTAGATATCCTGGAGTTCCTCTCACTCCGGTGAGAACTCCATTCTCATCTTTGTCCATGAGTAGCTTCGCCATGCCAAAGTCCGCCACTTTGGCCTCAAACTTGTCACCCAGGAGGATGTTTTGTGGCTTGATATCCAAGTGGATGATCGAGTCTCTGGATTCCTCGTGCAAGTAGGCCAGCCCTCGAGCAGTGTCGAGAGCAATGCTGTGTCGAAGTTTCCAGTCCAGTTTGTTCTTGCTGTCCGAGAAGATCCATCTGTCCAAGGAGCCATTGGGCATGAACTCGTAGACGAGCAGTCTGTGTGAAGCTTCGGCACAAAAGCCGTGAAGTTTGACGATGTTGATGTGGCTTATGCCTCCCAGGGCCTGGACTTCTGCGATGAATTGTTTCTGTGCGTGTTGGGCGCTGAGTTTCTTCACAGCTAGCTTCATCTTGTTGTGAAGAACTCCCTCGTACACGGTGCTGTAGCCTCCTTGTCCCAGCACGGTTGTGAATCCTTTGGTGGCGGAGTAAAGGCCTCGGTATGAGAATTGGAAAGGTGACGCCTCCACACGGGTGAGAAAGCTGCTTACCTCTCTGAGTAAGACGTTTCTTCGATGCAGGGCAGCGAACATCACTGCGAGGATTGTAATAGCAATTGCAGCACTTCCAGAGGTAACTCCGATAACTATATGCTTCGCAGTTTCTGATCTTGGATGGTCCACAGACACCAACCTGGAGTAGTTCTGGTACTTCAGAAAGCCCACCAGCTGGTTCGCCTTGGATGGATCAAGTGTCAAGCTTCCCAGAACGTCTTCCACGTAGAAACAGTTTTGGAGTGCTCTGTCATAGAAGAATGCAGCGCAGCTGCAAGTGGATTTGCATTCCTCGAGGCATTCTTCCAACGGAGCACCTGTTCTATTCGGGGGATTGTAGCTGTCGGTGATGTATGAAGTGCCTGCCATGGTGACAAAATCGGTCTCATACCTGGTGCTGCAATTGTGAAGCGAGGACCATTCTGGCCTGGAGCATTTTTCAGGTACCGAGGTAGTGGAGTTGTTTGTTTCATTGGTGAAGCACTGACACTGCTTTCCTCTCTCAAACAGTCCGTAGCTCCCGCATGGAACCGGTTGCTGGAAATATTGATCTAAGGTCTCTAGCTGCCAGCTTCCATTGGCGAATTCTCGCCTGAAAGAAACGATGATTCCATCGTTTCCGAACTGGAAATACCTCATGGTAGTGTTTCCTGGGAATATTTTTCCGTTCCGGGAGGAGCCGCACGGCTGCTGGTTACCACCACTACTTACAGGTTCGTATGCCAAGCTGATTTCTCCTGCGGGTGATAAACTCACTGCTGTTCTAAATCCTGCGCAGTTTCCAGTGGCTGAGCTTAAACTCGTTCCGGTGAGGCTCCATAACAAGTACGGCTGTTTTGCCTTTGGAGGGTTGCGCATGTACGCTACCATTCCACTCGGCTCGACTTGTAGGATAAACGGACCTTCGCTTGGATCTGAAGCGTCTTTGTTACTTACCAGGACCTGTCCCGTCACTAACTTTTGATTTGGCAGGAGTGCGTTACTCGGGTGATCGAAAAACTCCCATACGGTAATCCGAGATTCATTGTAAAGCTGCAAATTCCCCGAATTCTCGATGCCGATGAACGCAGTGCTTTGCTCTGAGGACCACGCGATAGAACCATTCCTATCGAGCAGCTGCAACCGGCCATCCACTCGATTAAGCATGCAATTCTCAGTTACTGGAATGTCCCGGTTGGCTATCCAGACAGGGGCAGCTGTGGACGAATTGCGAGTGCCAAACATCAATGCCAGGTAATACTTGTTTGTTCCGTTGAAGTTCAAGAATGCTAAGCCAAAATTCTCGTTGTCGCTGAGCAGAAGTTCGCGTGTTCTTGGAGTCCTGCCTTCCGCGACCGCGCTTAGCAAACGATAGCTTCCGGACCTGCCATCACCTGGAAGTTCAGGGGCACTCTCATTGATGAAAGCTCTCCATCCGTCGGGTATCGGGTATAGCTTTCCTTTACATCTTACAATTAACAACGCAAGTCGCAGGAGGAACAACGCAACCACTTGTTGCTTCATGAGGAGACCCTCTCTGGATCCTTTTTCTGGATAGGGAACACACGTTCTCCGCTTGCAAGGCAAAACGAAGCTCGGTAGTAGCGTGGCTAGACTTGACTGGAAGGAGACGAAGCAGTGTGAGTTTGAATTGCTTTTTTTTTGACTGACTGGAAGCATGAATAATGTGACAACCCGTGAGTGACTGATAGACCTTGTTTATAGCAATTCAGATTTCATGTATCAGCTAATTTAGCTTCGTCTGTGCAGGGATTGCTGGCACAAAGTAGAGGATCCGCTTGAAACACATCGTGTCATGTTTTTCTTCTGCAATTTCTGTCCTGTCCAGACTTTCAGGAACTAGACTTGACTGGAAGTGAGGCTGTTTCTTTCGGGCTTCGGATTGACTAAGTGGAAGGAGAAGAAGCAGAATCAACGTACAGCTCTAGCAAATCAACAGAGCCCTCTGCAGATGTGCGCAATGAAGCTGCTTATTGTCTCAGTCTTCCTGGTGTGGATGATTTCTATACTTGCGCACGGAACCAAGTATCATCTGCCACAAGGGTGGGAAGTAGTAAACAACAACAGGCTGCCAGAATTCACAGCATCCCAAGGCAACGCGAGCTATCGGCTGCTCCAAGCGGGCAACACATCCCTCGTAAGTCAGGATGGGAGATTTGCTTTATCCTTCTTCCGATTCAATGACTCGCCCAGGTACTACTTTGCATTAGTCTTTGGTGCCAGCAATTATACGAGCAACTCAGCATCAGGTGTCTGTGTTTGGAGTGCAAACCGGGACAATCCTGTTTCTGAAAATGCGACTCTTCAACTCTCGGATCAAGGTCTGTTGCAAGTTATGGATTCAGATGGAAGAGTGGTCTGGAATTCTCCCCGTGGAGTTTCTGGGATAGAGGTTCAAGACAGTGGGAACGTCGTTCTCTACGACTCCACAGGTGGTGTCTCCTGGCAGAGTTTCGATCATCCCACAGATGTTCTCTTGGAGGGACAGGTTATAGTTACGGGACAGAGCCTCGTGAGCAGCAGCAGTTCATCGAGCCTGTCAAGTGGGAGCATGAAGATGGAAGTTGTGGCAAGCGGTCTTATTTTCTTGCTGGAGCTTGATACCGTGCAGCCTTACCTGGTTTGGAACATGTGGAATGGTAACTTGCCGTCGGACGTGACATCGATCAACACGTCGTGCCCGTCTTATCGAATAGCTCTCCATTATTCTGCTGGAAGTGTACAAGGGAGATACCAGGCAACAAGAAACAACACCAGTGATCAGCCATGCGGGCCTCCCACCGCCGCAGTACTTGGAAACTATAGCAGCACTGACTTACACTATCTCAAACTTGACATCGATGGAAAGCTGATTCCTTACATCTATAACTTTGGACGAGCTTCGTGGGAATCCGGCCAGCCTTTCATGAGCAACATATTTGGATCCTGCCTCCCGATGACGTGCGAGTCACACAGTGTTTGCGCCGGAAGCTCTCAGTGCAGCTGTATAGTCCAAGGCCAGGATGGGGATCAGGAGCAAACTTGCCCGAGTCCGAGCGACATACCTCTCGTGTGCAACCACGAAGTCGAGGCTGAGAACCACCATTTTTTCAACGTGACTGGAGCAGGCTACTTCTCCAACAATTACACCAAGGCCGACAGAGTTTCCACCTTGAGCGATTGTTGGAACTTGTGCCTATCGAATTGCTCCTGCAGCGCACTCTTTTACAACAAGCAGGCAAGCACCTGTTTTTTCGTCGACCGGATGTATGGAGGCCTCACCAGAGATCCAAACTTCGATGGTTTCCTCAAGCTACAAAACGCAGAGCTTTTTGTGCGGGAGGGGCCCAAGGATCGCACACTTTTGCTTGGAGTGAGCATTGCTGCCGGCTTTGTTCTGCTATTAACCTTGGGCTTGGTCGCGCTGAGAATCTGGAAGCACAAACTCGACAAGGACGCAAGAACTTTGTCTCTGGCACTGCAAGGCTCGGCTCAGAAGTACGCTTACAGGGAGCTTGAGGTGGCGACTGCGAGCTTCTCGTCAAGCGTTGGAAAAGGTGGCTATGGAACTGTGTTTAAAGGGACGCTGGCAGACGGTAGACAGGTGGCAGTCAAGCGTCTGGAAGATCCCAAGCACAGTGAGAAGGGATTTATCGCAGAGATGGCCTCGCTGGGACGGATTAGCCACCACAACGTCGTCCAACTCTATGGCTTTTGCTCCGAGAAGAACCAGCTCATACTCGTCTACGAGTTTATGGCAAACGGATCCTTGGATAAGTGGCTGTTTGAGGATGGCTGCCTGGGATGGGAGATACGCCGGAGTATTGCTCTTGGATTGGCTCGAGGTCTGGCTTACTTGCACGAGGAATCGCGGCAGCTTATCATCCATCTCGACATCAAGCCCGACAACGTTCTTCTCGACGATAAGTTTTGTCCCAAGCTCGCAGATTTTGGCTTGGCAAAGCTGGCCAAGAGCCGGGACGCAAGCCAGACCGTGACTGATGTTCGAGGAACTCCAGGATATCTTGCCCCGGAGTGGCTCTTAAACTCGGCAGCGACGAAGAAATGCGACGTCTACAGCTATGGCATGGTGCTGCTGGAGCTCATAGGTGGGCGAAGGAACCTCTCCAAGCGTTTTATCTTCGGCAGTGGCGGGCACGACGATCGCTCCATGGACGAGGAAGAACGGGCTTTGTGGTGGTACTTCCCGGCCTGGGTCGTGGCTCTAGCGAGAAAAGGGGAGTTTCTCCGGGTTGCGGACGCGAAGATCCGAGACACTGTGGAGGAGGATCAAGTGAGAAAGCTCGTCCAGGTCGCGCTGTGGTGTATCCAGGATGATCCAAGGAGAAGGCCGTCGATGGATGCAGTCGTCCAGATGCTGGAAGGCCGGAGGGAGATTTCGGAGCCGCCACTCTCCTTCCGGTTTGCGTTGAAATCTCCGGGAGTTCTTCGATTTGCTTCCACTGCTTCCATGGGCGTAAGCGTGGCGGTACCGACTGAGCTCTCAGGCCCAAGGTAGCAAAATTTGAACGAGTGGATATGCCTGGAATATGCGAATTTTAAACTTCTATACCGAGCTAGAATATTCTTAGATAAAGAGTTGGCATATGCTCTTTTCTAGGGTTTGTGGAAGCTATGGGCAGGGAGGTCTCGACGAGCACTGGATTGCGCTGCTCCGCGCTGGACGCCATCGCCGATCGCCTTAGCGCCTTGCCGGAGCTCTACCTTCCGCATTCGTCCTTCGCCGGGCGCGCGGATCAACAGGTGAGCCAGCAGGAGAAGAAGGATCATCTCGTCTCGCTGCTCCACAGGGACGCGGCTATCTTCCTCGGTGAGTCAAGAATCTCTTGCGATCTTCGATGGAATTCGTGTTGATTTCCTTGTTCTCCTTGCAGAGCGCTATGGGAGCCGGCTCTTGCTGTCGGAGCTCACAGAGTTTGAGTGTCTCAAGGAGGATTACGAGGTGAATTGGCACCTCAAGAAGCTCAGGGCGGCCAAGAATCCATCGCCCGGCGAGCAGCGATCCAGGGCCGCGGCAGTGAAGAACCGGCGGCTTGCGTTCCTGGAGCAGCTTGTGGAGGATGGCAACTATTTCTCCGAGGAGGAGATGAGGATGCGGTGCCCGTTGCTCCATCACGAGTACGTTGGCCAGTTCCAGGAGCCGTCTATCTGGGCCTTCTCGCGGCGCGGGGACAAGATGGCGGACATTCTCATCAGGCAGTCCGAGGAGGCTTTCATCCAGCGCAAGATGGAAGAGGAGCGCAAGAAAATCCTGGAAGTGGAAGAAGAGGAGGAAGAAGAGGAAGAAGATGAAGAAGACGAGGAAGATGAAGGAAAAACAAAAGATGGCGAGCAGCACAAAAATGAAGAGGTGAGTTTTCCATGGTTTTAGCTCCTCGGGAAGAACTCTCTTCGATTTTTTCTTCTAGATTACTGACGGCCTTGCTTGGAATGTGTTGCAGTCATACACTTCCGAGGTTAATGCCTTGTGTTGCTTGCAGCTCTCTGACGATGCCGGGACTTCAAACCAAAGGCAAGCAGTGCCATCGCCACTGCCACCGTCCAGCGACGATCGGCTTCAAGCGTTCTCTCAGGAGATGATGGCCAAGTTCCTCGCTGCTGAGGACAAGAACAAGCTCTCGCCGGAGGAGCTTCAATGTAAGCTGGATGACTTTACCCGCGTGATGCAGGAGAAGTTCCTGAGCGGTGAAGACTCGGAGCACGTCGACTATGCTGTGATCGATGACAACGCTGCTCTGGACGATCACTGGCTCCGTGAGGTGTCTCACGAGGCCGAAGAGAAGTACTTCGAGGAGGAGGATCTCTGATGAACAGGTTCTTTGAAGAGATTCTCGTGTACATAACTTAACTGGCAGCTTGTTCCTGTGTAACTCTTTTAGCGTGTTCTTTTGCAGCGCAGGTGCGCTGCGAAGTTGTGTATTAAGTTAAAAGAGATTGAATCTACAAGTAAGCTTTGTCATTACTTTCCTTGAGCAGTGTCACGCGCGCTTGTTTGTTTGTAAGCCACACAGCTTGGCTATGGCGAGTCTCGCAATTGGACTCTTGCCACTGGTACCTCAGCACAAGCGTCGATTTGATCGGTTTCTTTCTCGTTCTGCAACAGCGAAAAGACTGCTGAAAGTCGCTGCGAGTTCCAGTAATTCCACTCCAAGTGAAAAGGTATCGTTTCTTCGATTTTCATAACATTCTGGCTGCTTCATAGAAGTTTTTCTACAGGGCATAGCAGTTACTCCGCAAAAAATCCGCGAGATTGTAAATTCGAGCTCCTTGGCAGCCGTGACATTGCTGCTTGGATGGACTCAGGTAAAATTTTTGTAAGAAAATGTTAGTTCTAATTTTTCTACCCAGAGTGCGGGCATTGCTGGAGCGACCGGCAGAGATCTGGTCGATCGAGCGGCGTATCCAGAGTATAGTTTGGAACAATGGATTGTGATTCTCGTGGCGTGGGGCGGCGTCGCATTTTTCTACTTCATCTTCCTACCGGTAGGTACTTCACTCTCACTCGAGAGAACTTACGCAAACCTTTCTTTTTTTCTTGGCAGCCAGTGATTTACGCTTATCTCCACACCAGATGGATGAAGCGCAACAAATACGAAGCGTTCTTCCAGTTCTTCATCGTCTTTTCTTTCTTCCCAGCGTAAGGACTTCGTTCTTCCTTTTGCCATCCATGTTTCTAATGAATTTTTGTGGAATCTCGTGCTTGTAGATTGCTTCTATGGGCTCCATTCATAAATTTGAGGCCTCTTCCCACCGATCCCACAAAGAAATACCCGTGGGAGTGACGAGCCAAAAAGTGTAAGATAAGCTCTCTTTTTAGGGCAAAATAGGATATCTCAAAAGCCCTAAACAGGGAAGGCAAACAGGATATTCCAAATGGAGCTGGGAGGGAATTTTAGGGCTAGAGCAATGCTGTTGGTGCGAGCTCATGCTCGCGCGGTAGCAGGGTATGGGCGATCGGGCAGCGGCAGCTTGTGGAATCGCCGGCGATGGAGCTCAGAAGCTCCGGCGGATCCAGCGCCGCCGCCTCCTGATAGATTGAATTTGGCGGAGGGCTTCGTCAAGGTGTGGGAAAATTTTGCGAGCAGCGTGCGGCTGATTTCTTGATGGTGAGATAGCTCCGGTTTCGTGCAGAGGATGCTAGAGATTGAGCGAGAGGATGGCAAGAAGCGGCTTCTTCGGCTCACTGTGGACAGTGGCGGATGCTCGGGGTTCCAGTATAACTTTAGCTTGGATGAGAAAGCCCAGTCGGACGATCGGTACGCTATGCTTTCTCTTTTCTTCTTTATAAAAACTTTGTGAGAGCATCGATTGCTGCCAGTGTTTTTGAGAAAGATGGTGCGACGCTGGTGGTGGATGGAATCTCTTTCGACTTTGTAAAAGGCTCTACGGTAGATTTTACGGAAGAACTTATGCGCTCGTCGTTTATGGTATGCAAAATCTCTCGAGATCTTCCTCTTTCCGGTTTCCAGTTTGGTTTTCTCTTGATTTCCCTGATTGCTGGATTGTTTCGATTGACAGGTTACGTCCAACCCCAACGCATCCGCTGGCTGCGGCTGTGGAGCTTCTTTCGTCCGTAAACCATAGATGGTTCTATAATAGAGAAAAAGGAAACGAATTTTGTCCCAGCATTGGTGGAGTCTGAGCACGCGTGTCGATAAGTTTGGAGATTTTTCTTTTCCTTCACTTTGGTTGGACTGGATTGACAGTTTGACACTTCTGTGTTGTAGGAAAACTGTCTGGCTTAATGGCAGCAGTTTAGGTCCCCTGGCTGCGAAGCAAAGGCAAAAGCTTTTGCCAGATCTTGGAATGGGCTGGAAACAGCTGCGAGCGTCAAATCGAGCGCAGCAGCAGTGTCAGGCAAATTGGCCTGGATCACTCTCGAGAAACTTTGCGAGATCCAGAAAGATCCATGCCTTGATCACAGTAGGAATGCCTCCTTTTTCTCTATCACTCACTCACTTGAGGATTCCTGGCACATTGACCCAGGAAGAAAGAGAAGTTTTTGGAAGAAAGCGAGACAATAGAGGATGGGTTTGTCAGTTGGTGGCACCTACACGTAAGTACAAGAGTGTGACCATTCAATTCGATTCAATTCCAATCCACAAAGCAAAGATTTCTCCCCATTTTTCTTTTCATTGTCCTATGCTTGTCTGCCAAAGCCAAGCCTACTAACAAAAACAAAGAGCCCTAATTTTCAGCAACTGATAAACCCTAATGTTTTTGTCGCCCGCCAAACTAGCTAGCCGCTATGATGGCCGCAAGTGGCAGGCAGCAACGGTGCCACGTTTTAGCGCCCTCCCGGCCAATGAGGCTTTAGTGTTTGATATTGCGCATCCAATGGCCACTCGTTTAGATCTGCATTTCTGACACGTGTATGCGTATATGTATTAGATTGGCCTATGGCCATGCATGGGGCCAAATTCCATGGCCATGGCAACTAGCACATAGTCGCGAGCGTAGCTAGCCACAATTTGGTGAAGCGCGCTAGGGATTTTCTTTCTTTTGTGCTCGAGCGCTAGAGGAGTGGGAAATATTTTCCCTTTGGCTAGGTTTTCTCGCGGGGACGATCCGGCGCGCCTTGGTGGATTTCATGAGAAGCGCGCGCGATCTCGGCAGCGTCGATGATGTCCAGCGCCTGGGGATATACGGATTTGAGCAGCGGAGGAGTGCCTTGGCCACAGGTGAGTCCGTGTGCTCGATTTTCTGTCCGAAATTTCGAGTCCTGGGAGTGAGATCGCAGTGCTTGACTGTCTTGGCAGACCGGAATCGCGGGCAATCGTTGCGATTGCGACAGCTTTGATTCTCTCGAGCGTGAGAGGAAGATTGGCGGCTGGGATGATGTCCCATACGGCACAGGAGGGGGGTCTTTCCCTGCAGCAAAGGAGGTGGTGGTGGATCAGGAATGTCCGTCGTGGCCTCTCCGGCTTTGCTCGACTACAACGCAAGGCTTCCAAGGTGGGATTGAGACGAGCAGGGAGTTCGAAGCACTCGTGTCAGTGCCGGAATCGTTGACAGCTCGATCGAGCTCCTCGAGCAGCAATGTTGCGAGCACGAGCGCTGCTCGCTTCGACTCGTTTCTAGACGAGAATGGCGATGCCAGTGTGGCCTCAAGCTCTTGCCACTTTCCTTTGTCCGAGGAGTGCCTTGGACAAGCTCCCTCGTACAAAGAAGTGGCCGATGGCTGGGACGCTATCGGCTCCCTAGCCGACATGGACGATTTCCTGGGGTACGTAACTTTCTCGTTTTACTTACTCGTGAGTGATGAGTGACAAGCTTATTGCATGCAGACACAATCCACCATTTGGGCAAGCCAACTCTTTGGAAGTCCAGAGCCAGATGATGCCGCCAGTGCCGAGAATCTCTCCCGAAAGTTGCAAAAAGAAGTTGGTGCGTGTTTTCCTACGTGCTGGTTTCTCAGTCGCGGGAATAACTATCTGCTTTGTTTTTTCCCAGACCTTCGAGCAGCCTATTCTTATCCAGCATGAGGCAACGTCTGCAAAAAGGTTGAAAACGCTATCGCCATGGATCTCTGGAAAGCCTTCACAAAGACATACGTTTCACCAGGAGTTTAACTCTCTGGCCTTGCCCGTCGTGGAGCCGCAGGGAACGGCGACCGCTAGCAGCATCGAGCACCTGCTTCTGCTCCAAAGGGCCATGAACTACAATGGCGCCATCCAAGCTTCCAACTCGGTGCTCGGTGGGGCATATAACTACGCGGCACCGCCTGCTTTTGGAGACGGCTCTCTGGAGGCCTCCGTACTCTACCAACTTGGGTGCACAATGTCCAAGGTACTAAACTTCCCTGATCTTGATGACGGAGGAGAGCATCCCGTTTTTTCTTCTTTTCGCTGTCACAGCTAGACGTCAGCACAAGGCTTTGCATCCGAAACGCTCTCTACCGTCTCGCCACGAGTGCCTGCCACAGAAGCGGAGACGAGGGCGCGAGCTCCATCGAATCTTCTGCCAAGAGGTACGTCCGGGGTATCGAAAGTTAACGATCGGTACGACAGATGGTGTGCTCTGTTCGCCAGGCCCGGTGGCATTCCCTGCTTGGAGACATGCACGAATCCAATCGACCGCACGGTGGCAAGCCTGCTGTTTTACAAGCCGGAAGCAGACACTACTCAAGACGGGTCCGTGTCTCCACAGTCGACGGTGGTCTCATCAGAAGGCTCCTGGATCCAGCAGCCAGTGGCAATGGCAGGCGTCACACCGCAAGCCACACTTCCGCGCTGCGCTGGCTACTTCGCGCGAGGGGTTTAAGGACACTCCGCGCGAGGGGTTTAAGGAGGGGGTGGCACACACAGGTCAAAGGAGAGGCGAAAGGAGTGGGGTAGAAAAACAAGGCGGGCCGCGCGGTGAATACATAGCAGGGGGGCCGGGGGTTCTGGGTTCAGGGTTTAGGGTTTATAGAGCTCGCGAATGCAGGCTGCTGGGTTGGATCGTGGGCTGGAACCAGCACTAGTGGGCGACGACTTTGGCTTCTTCTCGGGCGAGTGTGAAGTGGCAGCGGCATTTCACAACCCGTTTGTAGCGGCAGCAGTTGCGCACCGGGATGCTGTTGCTGCTGCAGCTGCTCCTGGTGCTACATTCACTACCGTCTTGGCGGCCGCCAAGAGGATAAGGCTGGGTGAGAGGTGCAGGGGGAGCGGCCTCGAGGAGGAGGATAGCGCGCCTGAGAAAACGGTGCGTAGCTCTTGTCGCTCGGCTCCTCTCCTTTCTCCTTTGCTTTGCTTTGCTTTCCGTCCTCCTTGCTGCTCTCTCCTGGGATGGGATTTGGTTCTTGAGTCCCTCGCATTAAATTAGTAGCCCTTGAGAGTGACGATTGAGTGGATGGTATTTCTCTTGTGACATGACTTGACTGCTTTCAGAGAAGTCAATCTTGCAGACGAAACGCTGTGAAAGAAAAATTAAGGGACCGGTGGAAGGAAGGAATGCTCCCAAGTTTTTGGGACAAGTCCGGTGGTTATGTACTGCCAAAGTACGCTTCCGAGCCATTCAGTCCGGTGTGCATGCGTTAAGAGTGCCGAAGGTGCTCGTTCTTCGTTTGGGTGATGCGGGGGCTTGTCTTTTTCCAAGAGCTGCTGGGCTTCTCTAAAGTGCTTTGCTATGGTTTTGGCAGGCTCGGGTCCCTGAACCGGTTCCCTCGAATGATGACGATTGGGACAAGGAGCTAGCGCCGGAAGATCTCGAAGAGTTTGTACTCTCGGCTTTGTCACCAGAGGCGCTCGACAACGGGAAGCCTGACATCGAAAATGGTATTGGTGCCAAAGGCGATGGAGGAGTTGTTTCGGCAAAGCCAGGCCTGGACAGGGGGCAGCAAAGTCACAGCCATAGCCAAACTGGCGTCAGCAGCTCTGAGAGGATAAAAGGGAAGGCAGCAGCAGTAGAACCCGAGCTTTCCGCAGATGCTCTGGTTCTTCAGGAGCTGGAGACGGTTGTCTCGAAGGTACGCCGCTTGCGGCTTTAAAAACCATTGCACATTTTTTTCATCTATGCCCGATCCTTTTTTACAGCTCGAAAGCCGGAGCAGACTTTGCTTGAGGGACGCGTTCTACAGGCTCGCAGACAATGCCACGCGAAGGACCGGAGTTCAAGCCGACGCAGCGGAACTCCAGCGCTTGTCGTGGCGCACAGCATCCTTGTCCCTGAGGTACAAACACCAACCCCGTCTCTTTTTTCGTTCTCTCGCATTTCCAGTTTCCTGGTACGTAACGCTCGATCGAAAACCAAACAGACAGGAGCTGTCAACTAATACGATTGATCGATCCGTCGCGAGCATGCTCTTCTGCAAGGAATCTCCCCCTCCACCTCTCCCGCTCCCGGCTCCCTCCTCGCCGCCGCCTCTTCCTCCACTTCCTCCGCGGCCGCGTTCTTCTCCTGGTCATCCTCCTCGTCCCAAATCATCAGCTTCTTCGAGCAGTAGCATTCCAAAGAAGCAACACCAACACCATCAAGCTCCGCTGGGCAACAACACCAACAAGAAGTTGTCGCTGGCCCCAGCTCACAAGCATCGTTGTGCTGGATCGACCAGCGTGCTACGAACAGCCACGACATTGCGAGCGACGCCGGCGGCGATCCCAGGAGCTGCCAGGAACACCAAGAGTTTGATACTACTCCCGCCATCAGCGGCCACCAAGCGAAGATCGCCAAATGCCACTACTACTTTTACTAGTACTAGTACTACTACGACGACTAACAAACGAGGCAAGCTCTGAGGGTGGCGAAGAAAAAAATAAAACTGCAGACCGAATTTGGGTCGCTTGACTTTGTCAAGTAAAGATGTTTATCGAGAATATTCTAAATGTTACGAATATGGCCTTTTTCCCCCAAAAATGTAAGTAAAAATACAGCAACCTAATGCCACTGGCCTAAGTGGCACAACCATCTTCTTCTTTTTCTTCTTCTTCTTCTTGATCACCATCACTTCACTGTTTGTTTGAAGATCTCAAAGCCGTCAGTCCAAGCGAAACGAATAGGTATCCCCGTATGTCTTCCTTTGTGGAAAGAGAGAATGTAGCATTTTTGCCACCGATTGGATCTGGAGACGCTGCTGGAGCACCAGCTTTAAAACGTCCAAATGCTGCCTCCTAGATCACTGTCGGTTCACATTATTTGGATGTCAAGCCTGAGGCACTGCTCTTGAGATCAACAAGCATCTGGTAGGCTTCTACAACAGTTTATGATTGCGAGAAGAACTGTTTGTGTTGCTCTTTGTAGGACGTATGAGATTCATTCCCTCGGGGCATATGAAAAATAAGTCTTGCCACATCATCTAACTCTTTCCTTGTCTATATTCCATCCAGACTTCAACAGCTAGAGCACCTGAAGTAGATCTTCTTGGGGACTTAGTGGCTCTTCTTTCTAGTGGCCAACACGGCCCATTCCAAACGGGAATTTCGTCGAATGGTTATGCCTTGTGTTACAAGAAAACTAGAATCTTCTATGTTCAGGATCTCATTCACAAGGGTATGGGAAAACGGGTGCTCGAAAATCCGGACGCTTGGGCTGATGAAATAGTTTCAGAAGAGTCTTTGCTTATGGACGTCTTATTTATGACACTCCTGCTGCAGGAAAGATCTGGTCGTTTCTTTTCAGGTTGCACTGATTGCAGAACGGAATGATGGTTTCCTTGTTGATAAGCACAGTATACAGCAAAAAGGCTATCAGTTACATTTGTTCACATAAGAAGAGTTGAAAATGTGATCTATATAAGAGTTTTAAGTTATCAAAATGACTTTAAAATAATTATGATAAATAATTATGGTAGGCTACCCCAAGTTCACAATTATCGGTGTACCAGATCGAGCAGCATTTGGTGATCCCAAGAGCTACCAAGAACACCAAGAGTTTGATGCTACTCCCGCCAGCCGCGACAAAAGCGAAGAACGCCAAACGCCACTAAACATCTGTCACAAACAGGCAAGCTACTCTTCCCGTTTGTGGAACCTGCCGTCTGAAATATTCAATAGAATGTTCCTTTGTTTAAATAAATGCTCTTTTTGTTTGGTATATTCTGTTTATGGAGCAAAACGAATATGCTTGAGCAGAGATGGAGTAGATGCTTTGGGAGAACTACGCGTCGGCTCTTCGATGGTGCGCCAAGACCAGGTCGCTCGCCCAGGGAAAAC